CTCTGCAAAGGGCTCCAGGCACTGCTTGCTGTGAGTGTGAGCCACTTTAAATTAGGGGCAGAGAGCACTTGCATTGCGGTAAAGACGGGTCTGGGCAGGAGGAGAGTGCAGTGCAATCAGTGCACTTCCCTCCTGTGGGTCACCAGTAGACTGGTGCACCTGCCCAGTATCAGAGCCGGTGCAAGGATTTTTGCTGCCCTAGGCAAAAGAAAGATTTGCCGCTCCCATGTGACATCACAATGCCCCACCCATATGATCTGCCATATGAACTAACGCCAGTGCTGCACACAGTGTGTGTTTACATTAAAAAGCCTGCAGGGACCGGCTATAGATACCAGAACCGCTTCATTAAGCTTAAGTGGTTCTGGGGACTCTAGTGTCCCTTTAATGTGAGGTAAATTATAGATTAGTGTCACTAATATCATACTAGATTGCCTACTGACAACCAGATGAGGATGATGATGGGCTGCAGTTTGGCTCCACTGGTCTGGTGTAGAACAGGATCTCTGGAGGCTGTTTGCAACTGTGGTCACAAAATTCAATGTTCTGGGAGAATTGGAAGCAGCTCCATTTTTTGGGGCCCCTTACACAGCTCAAGGTCTGGGCCCCAGGGCCTGACGGTGAGTATGCCCATAAGGCCCACTCATAAGTCCACTTATATGTTCCACCCACCCATGAGTTCGCTCACAGGGAGTGGAGTGTGTAGGGGATGTGTTATGTGTTATTGTAGAGGATATAATATGTGTGCTTATGGTATGTAGTGTATAGGGATACAAGTTTGTGTAGGTGATGCAGTGTGTTTGTGTGTAGTGGAAGCAGTGTGTATTTGTGTATAAGGGATGTATTGTGTGTTTCTGGTTGTGTGTAAGGAATGCATTGTGTGAATCAGTGTTTGAATGCATAAGGGATGCAAGGTGTGCGTCTGTATATGTGTGCATTGAGTGTATGTAAGAGATGCATTGTGTTTATGTGTGTATGTAAGAAAAGCAGTGTGTGTGTTTGCATGTGTGTGTAAGGGTTTGCATTGTGTGTTTCTGTGTATGTGTGCAAAGGATGCATTGTCTTTGTGTAAGGTTTGCATTGTGTGTGTAATGGATGCATTGTGTGTTTCTCTGTGTGTAAGGGAAGTATGTTGTGTAAGGGAAGCATGTTGTGTTTCTCTGTGTGTAAGGGACGCATGTTGTGTTTCTGTGTATGTACAGGGATGCATTGTGTGTGTGTGTGCGCGTAGTGTGAAAGAGCTCCCTGTCTTGCTCCCTGTCCTATAGAGCTGTCCGTTCTGTCCCTTAGAGGTCTCCCTGTGCTCTTCTCATGCCCCCTCCCCCTCCCTCTGTTCTTCTCACTCCCCCCCCTCCATGTGTTCTCCTCACTCCCCTGTGTTCTTCTCACTCACCCCCCTGTGTTCTTCTCACCTCCCCCTACCTGTGTTCTCCTCATATCCCCTTCTCCTCACCCCCTCCCTGTGTTCTCCTCACCACCCACCCTCCCTGTGTTCTTCTCAGTCCCCTCCATTCTCCTCATCTCCCCTTCTCCTCACCCTCACTCTCTCCCTCCTCCCTGTGTTCTTCTTACCCCGCCTTCTTCTTCTTACCTCTTCTTCTTCTTACCCTCTACTCCCCTTTCTTCTTTCTTACCTTGATCTTCATCTTACCCTCCTCCTTTTTCTACCTCTCTTTCTTACTCCCTTCTTTTCTTACCTCCCTTCTTCTTACCCCTTCTTCTTCTTACCCAGCCTTGTTCTCTTACTCCCCAAACCTGTCTTTCTTACTCCCTCCCTTCTTCTTACTTCCCTCTTCTTTCTTACTCTCTTCTTTCTTACTCTTCTTTTCTTTACCTTCTTCTTCTTACTCTCTTCTTCTACCCCCACCCCTTCTTACTCCACCACTTCTTCTTATCCCTTCTTCTTACCACCACCCCTTCTTCTTACCTCCCCTTTCTCTCTTTCTTCTTACCCCTTCTTCTTACTCCACCCTTCTTCCACTTCTTCTTACCCCCTTTCTACCCCCTTCTTCTTCTAGCCCCCTCTTTCTTACTCTTACCTCTTGCTCTTCCCCCACCTTCGTTCTTCCACTTCCTTCTTCTTACCCCCTTAGCTCTACTCCCTTCTTTCTTACCCCTTCTTTTTACTCCCCTTCTTCTACCCCTCTTCTTACCCCACCCTTCTTCTTATGCCCACCCCTTGTCTTACCCTCTTCTTCTTACTCCCTTATTCTCTACCTCCACCACTTCTTCTTACCCCTTTCATCTTTACCCTCCCTTCTTCTTACCCCCACCCTTCTTACTCCTACCTTCTACCCCCTCTTTCTACTCCCTCCCTTCTTCTTTCCCACCCTTTTCTACCCCCTCTTTCTTACTCCCACCTCTTCTTCTTACTCTCTTCTTAACCCACCCCTTCTTCTTACTGCCCTCTTCTTACCCCTCCCCTTCTTCTTACTCCCACTCCCCTTCTTCTTACTCCCCCCCTCCCCTTCCCTTCACGCAGAGAAGCCCGACTCCCGAGGTTACTTGCCAACCGGGTCCACATTAACTGCTAATCTACTGAAGCGTGGGAACGTATCATTGTACCGCCAGCTCCGGTAGGCAACCACTGTCATGTCCACGCCATGACAGACCACAGATAAGAGTGACACTACAGCCCCGTGTGCCCAATCCCCCCTTTACTCCATCCCCCCACTCCTCCTGTCACCCCAGCAAGGATCCCTACAAGCAACTGGGCTCTAGACACGCGTACTATAGACAACCAAGCCCAAGTGATTATACAGCGCTAATAACGCAGACAATATAACCACATGAGCCCAAAACACAGCGCTTACCCCTCTGAACCAACACCCCTCGCAACCTTCATTACCTCCACCCCCTGCCCTGGACTATAAACCACACTGACCCACCTAGCCACTGGCCTGACCCTGAGTATGCCGGCAAATCACCATGAGATGGCCCCATTCCCCCCCCCAGCCTGACCCCCTCCCTGTACTGTATGTGGGTTGAGCGTATCACACTGCTGCCATAACCCTGGACGCTCGCGACACACCACAGACCACACTATGAATAGTCCCCTTCACTGATATCGCCCTAAGGGGAGCTACAGAACTCTCTGAAAACATTTACCACTGCACACCACTGAGGAGACCCTACTGACTCCTACTGTAGGTCCGAGTGACCTATCCCAGGTGCTTAACCAATACCCGGGTGGTCTACTCACCCCACCCAGGGTAAACCACCTAAGGATTCCCCCAAGCAGCCTACACCCCTTGCTGTTAGCCAACAGTAATCATAGACGGCACACGCCTCTATACATAGTTCAACTGTTATATCTCTTTTCTTGATTCTTAAACCCTGCCTCCTGCCCATATAATCCTTCTACCAATGCCCTTCCACAGCCCCTAATGGGGAGGACCGAGAGGGAACCCACCCCACCTTGAATGGCTACTATATGAATTGTCACGCTTAATGTTTGAGGTCTAAACACGCCCGAAAAAAGTTCCGTGACACTTAATGAACTGCACAAATTAAGGGCAGACGTTACTTTCTTGCAAGAAACACATTTCAAACACAAGGCCGCTCCTCCCTTACGAAACAGACAATACCCAATCGGATACTTTAGTAATTTCACTAAAACCAAATCCAGGGGGGTAGCAATACTTCTCTCAGCCCATCTACCCTTCACATACTCTTCTCACAAAACAGACGAAGCAGGCCGGCTGCTCCTGGTCAAAGGCTTAATTGGTCAGACCACAGTCACCTTCGCAAACATATATCTCCCTAATAGACGACAATGTAAAACACTTAGAAAACACCTTAAAATCATAGAACAATTCGCAAAAGGCATTCTACTACTTGGGGGAGACTTTAACCTATCCCTAGACTCCCTACTGGACACAACATCCCATACGACGAGATACCAAAACTCGGCACGTAACCAAATGACGATACTCCTGGATCAAGCTCAACTATATGATGGCTGGCACACCACTCACCCATCTGACAAAGACTTCTCCTACTATTCACACGTAACATGTACATACTCTAGGACATGGTCTTTGTCCCACATAGGTTGCTCCACCTTATACAATCAAGAAGCTATGGTTCGATAATGTGGTCCAACCATGCACCTCTGTCACTTGACATAGCAATCCCCACTCTACCGCAGAAATCATTCCAATGGAAACTGAACAACCTCCTCCTTAATGACCCAGACATAGTCTCCCACTTAAAGGAGTCTCTTCATACTTACTTCACCACCAATACAGCCCCTGACACACCCTCCCCCATCACATGGGAAGCACATAAATGCGTGCTGCGGGGAGAAATAATCGTACTGGCATCCAGACACAAGAAACTCAGGGAGGCCAAAATCCAACATCTTAAAGATGAAATTAAAACTCTAGAAACCTCACACAAACAAGACATGAGACTGTGCACATACACGGACCTCACAGCTAAGAGGTCAGCACTACAATACCTGTTAAATGCCAAAATCAAACATGCACTCCTACGCACAAAACACTCTTACTACTCCAAAGGGGGCAAATGTGGGCGTCTGCTCACAAATGCCCTGAAACAACAACGGCAATAAACCTTTATCTCCAAAATCAAGACAGCTTCGGGTACCTTATCATATAAACTCCCTGACATCCTGACCTCCTTCCACAAATTTTATACCAACTTCTAAAACCTCAGGAGTTCCCCTCCCTTAGAACAGGACATTGAGTATGACCTATTCTCCAGAGTCCACAAACAATGCCCACGAACTTAGTGATCACTTAGACGCCCCGATATCCTCAGACAAAGTCCATTCCGCCATAAAACAACTTAAAATAGGGAGGAGCCCAGGCCCAGATGGGTTCACAGCCAAATACTACAAGACATTCATGACAACATTGACGGAACCTGTCCTGACTCCGATGTGAACGGACGTGCTGTAACGAAGCTCCTCAAAGCGGATAAACTCAAACCTGGATAACGCCGTCAAGGAACCCCCAATGGGAAACAAAAAAGGAATGTCTACCTTAGCGCACACTCCAGACCCGGGACCGGGCAAAAAATCCGGAGATTTAGACCAATATTTCAGGGACATGGTTAATATCTTAGGCGCAGAGCAAGAAGAGTGCCGGACGCCATCTTTATCACGCGGCTCACACTCCAGCAGCCCGTCTAGATCCGAGCATGCTGCTGGGACAGGCATGGCAGAAATAAAAGAAATCCTCCAGAATTTGCCTTCGAAAGCAGAACTTGCTATTATGCTGACGAAATTAGAATCTTCTGTGCAAGAACAACTCTCCACACTTACCTCAGAAGTCAAACAGATTAGTAACAGAGTGGGAGATCTAGAGGACGACCGCGAACAAATTATGGATAGGCTGCTACATTTGGAACAGGGCCAAGAGATGAATGAGGCCAAATTACTCTATAACAGGCAGCTGGCTGAGGATCTCGACAATAGAGGCCGCAGTAATAATATTAGAGTACGCGGCCTTCCGGAGGCGCAAGGAATGAGTGAGGACCTCCACATGATATTACAAACTCTTTTCAACAGAATACTACAGAGGCCCCAAAACACTCATATCATCATAGATAGGGCCCACAGAGTGCTCAAGCCTAGGGGCCTAGCACCGGAAACCCCCAGAGACGTGATATGCGGAGTTCATTACTTTTCGGAGAAGGAGGAAATTATGCGCACGGCGAGAGAAACCGCAGAAATCCTGTTTAACAATGCAAAAATACTATTACTCCCTGATCTGTCCTGGCTAACGCTTAGAGGCCGGAGGGCCCTGAGACCGGTCACACAAGTCCTACAACAGGCGGGAATCAAATACAGGTGGGGCTATCCATTCTCCCTCATCGCTAACCACCAAGGGAACCAGATCTCCATGACGACAGCGGCAGAACTCCCAGAATTCATTAAACGTCTGGGCATCCCGACGATGGAAATACAAGACTGGTATGAAGTTGGGAGCCAAAGGAACCAACCTCCGCCTAGCCGACGATTACAAAGTCGAACGCAAGACCCAAGAAAGACACCGTCAAAGAGAACGCTGACGGATTTGCCCCAGCAGAGATCCCAGCGCCTACTAGGTACTCCAAAAAGGAACAGATGAGACGTGTCACTATCTTCACATAACGTAAGGTGGAACGGACTTTGGGACTATCACATCACCTGTTATTCCCATACCAGACTTAATTTGGGATGGTAAACATTTCTGATTATTGTATTTTATTTTTTCAAATGAGATCAGCATGACGGGAGGGACAAGTTACTATCACACATGAGATTGCCTCTGTATTTAGCATTCCATGCCACCCAAGAAACACAAATTAAAAGGCACAGGACCCAGAGGTTTGCAGGGTGGAAACACTCAGGCGAGACTCTGGGGGATACCTAGACACACCATCAGGAAAGTAGGAGACCTAACATGACCGCCTTCTTTAAGAAGCGGAATCTAAAACTCACCACAATAAGACAACATAAAGCCCTTATGCTGATCCCATCCTGTTATCCCGGGCTAATCACTCATAACAGTTGAATGGCCGCGGAGGGGGTGCGATGTTCACACTCGGGGGAAAGTTATATTATTACCAACCTTTGAGGGCGGAGAACTACGGGCAGGGCGAGAAGCAAAGTGCAATTTGCGCCTCGCACTGACCGACGACACACAAACCCCCACTGTCGTGGGACCTTTATGGTCCAGAGCAGTACATACCACAATAACTGACTATCGGTCTATATTATTGTCAGTTCTTAAAACTTCCCTGACTCAGTTAGTATAACTCGGAGTACTCAGGGTTGAGTACCGACTCCTTAATAGAGGTCACCAAGCGTACTAAGAGAAGCCCATAAATCTATTTGTATAAGAGAGGGTTAACATAAAAAAAACAAAAAAAAAACACTTGAACCAACGATACCCTCACCGACGTAAGTGACCTACCCTAAAGACAATATTGTTGTCAAACCACATTACTAGTACTATTAGTCTCTTAGTGATCAAGACTAGTGAATATTGATTATACTCTCATTGATCGATTACATTTCATTGTATATAGTTCAAATTTCAAGGTTACTCGTTCAGGTGCAATCAAACCACTGAGCTCAGGGGTTATTTAGCTGGTCAAACACATCACCCCAAAACTCTCTTATCTCCCTGAGACTAGACATTGGTTAAGGGGTAAAGCCTGTGAGAACACCCCTGTGTTCTGCCTATCTCCAGAAGTATGGATAACTAGACCCCATCATGGGTAAACTCCAAATACTATCACAAAATGTTAGGGGCCTAAACTCCCCAGAGAAATGAAGGATGGTGCTCAAGGACCTAGCAGCATCAGGAGCAGACATTATTTTCCTGCAGGAGACTCACCTTAGGGGCACGACGGCACCCTCCCTTAGACACCCTAGATTTACACACATCTACTACAATAATTTTAGTAAAAGCAAATCTAGGGGGGTAGCGATATTGATCAAATCCGGGGTCCCATTCACTTACCTCAACCACATCGCAGATAACTCAGGTCGATACCTAATAGTGCAGGGCCAAGTGGGCACATCTCCAATCACCTTAGTGGGGATATATCTCCCGAACAAACACCAATGTGGCACTTTCCAGAAAATATTGACTAAAATCCAGCGAAATACACAAGGCATACTGATAATTGGGGGCGACTTCAACATTTCCCTGGATTCAGCTAAAGACAGCACTTCACTTAAAACTAAAAACATGGAACCGGCCCAACATCAAATGCAACATATTCTGCATACAAACCAACTAGTAGACTGCTGGAGGGTCCTACACCCAACCACGAAGGATTTCACACATTACTCAGTCCCAAATAACATGTACTCACGTATAGACTTTTTCCTAACGACACATAGAGATTTGAGTCTCATAACGGATGCAACCATAGGAAATGCAACATGGTCTGATCACGCCCCAATAACTGTTTCCTTGGATCTTCCCTCATTCCCCCACCCCAAAGGGCAGTGGAAGCTAAACCCACACCTGCTTCAATCACACCAAGTCAAACAAGCGGTACAGGCGTCCATCACACAATATTTTAAGGAGAATAAAACTCCCGACACGAGAGCTTTTACACAGTGGGAGGCACACAAAGCAGTAATACGGGGAGAACTCATAAAATGGGGGGCACAATCCAAGAAAAACAAACATAAGAGGATCTCAGAGCTCTTAGGGGAAATTAGTTCCCTTGAGGAAGCCCACAAACATAACCTTTCAGATCCAATATTCCGTTGTCTTAATGCATTACGAAAGGAACTACACTCCATCCTCCTAGACAATGCTAAAAAAGCCATACTCTGGACTAATCACCTATACTTCGCACAAGGCAATAGAAGTGGCAAACTCCTGGCCCATGCTCTGAAACACAAACAAGCCCAAACTTATATCCCTAGGATAAAACGCCCTAAAAACACAGTAGCATCCACTACAGAGGACATAGCAGAGGCGTTCAGGGATTACTACACGTCCTTATATAATTTAAGAAGTACAGCCCCGACTACTGAAGACATCACATCATATTTGGCAGACAAATTTGACACCACACTAACGGCAGCAGCCACAAGATCATTGGAGGAGCCATTCTCCTTAGATGAACTGAAATTGGCCATCAAACTAACTCCAGGGAACAAGAGTCCAGGCCCAGACGGATTCTCCGCGGCTTATTATAAAACCTTTCAAAAGGATCTGATGGATCCTTTCCTAGAAGCTATCAATTCTATTCCTCTGGGAAACTCTATACCCACACAAGCATTAGAGGCATCCATCACACTCTTGCCCAAACCCGGGAAGGACCCAGAGAAATGCGCAAGTTATAGACCAATCTCCCTTATTAACGTGGACATTAAAATCTTCACCAAAATGATGGCATTGAGACTGCGGCCCTTCTTAACAGACCTAGTCCACCCTGATCAGGCAGGCTTCATCCCAGCGAGAGAGGCAAAGGACAATACAACCAAAACGATCAACCTGATACATGCAGCCTCGAAAACCAAGATGCCCTCTCTCATGCTGGCAATAGACTCGGAGAAGGCGTTCGACAGGGTGGACTGGTCTTATCTCATGCTAACCCTGACAGCCTTGGGCTTTGGAGATAGGTGGCTAACCTGGATTAAGGCCATATACTCAACACCCACGGCGCGGCTAAAAGTGAACGGGCAGCTATCGAAACCCTTCCAAATAAGCAACGGTACGCGCCAGGGTTGCCCTCTGTCTCCCCTCTTATTTATTTTAACGTTAGAACCTCTATTACAAGAGGTCCGTAGGAATGTAGACATAAGGGGCATTAGAGTGGGGACCAAAGACTATAAAGTGTCTGCCTTTGCGGATGATTTACTATTTACCATAATATACCCTACATCCAGTTTGCCTATTCTAATGGAAGTCCTCGACAGATACAGTGACTTCTCTAACTTCAAAATAAACACAGAAAAATGTGAGATCTTAAATATTAATGTCCCTAAGGACCAAGTCACCCGCATACGAGACGCATACCCATTCCTCTGGGCTAATAACTCCATTAAATATCTGGGAGTACAATTAACGAATTCATACCACACACTATACTCCGCAAACTTCTCACAGCTACTCACCGCAATAAGCTCAGATCTAGCAAAGTGGAATAAACCACACTTTAGGTGGATGGGCTGTATCAACATCATCACAATGATGATTCTACCACGTATACTATACTTACTCAATACACTACCAATCCATATCCCTTCAAAATTCTTTAAACAGATACAAACGATGCTTACTTCTTTCATATGGGCTAAGAAAAGACCCAGGATAGCCTTTAATATTCTGACCAAAAATAGAGAAAGGGGCGGCCTGGGATGCCCGCACATTCTCCAATACTAGAAAGCAATACACCTAGGGCGCATAATTGAGTGGTCGAGAACAGACGGGAAGAAGATATGGGTCAAGATAGAACAAGATCAAATAGACACCCCATTGCGAGCTCTCCCCTGGACAATTCACACCACCAATAGTAAGATCCCGAACAATCTCCCTATGATCACCCCCACACTACAAATCTGGAAGTCAATCAATCAGGGCTTGGAATTTACTCCGACCACATCTCCCAAGTACCCCATTACTACAGACAAATCTGGAAAGTTTCGGGAGGGCCCCAGGGACGTCCCAGACAAAAGACCACTAGTTAGCATTGGGTGAGGTTATAGGACCTCAGGGACTGAGACCTCTACAGGATCTTGCGAGATCCAAAACCCAAACCATGCTGCAAACATTCCAATACTATCAACTCAAACATTTCTTAAGCAAAGAACAACTATTAAATTGGACACCCAGGGCTGAGACATCTTTTGAAGCCTTATGCACAAAACCAATCACTAAGAAAATTATATCGAAATGTTATCAACCAATCCAGACTTCAGAGAATGCAGGCCTCCCTTGGTTCACAAGAGCCGCATTTGGACGGTTCTCTACACCTCTGGAGGAAACCCAATGGTCGACCATATTACAAAAAATGCTGAAAACTCACCCGAATATACCAATGCAAGAGGCCAACTATAAATTCCTCACGAAATGGTATATCACACCTGTAGAGGCAAATAAATACAAACCACAACAATCCCCCATATGCTGGAGATGCGGGTTAGAACGGGGAACATACTATCACATTTGGTGGGAGTGTAGAGGAGTGGTAGGATTCTGGAAGGAAGTCGCGAGATTAACGGAACACCTTAGCGGGATACCCATAGCATTCACACCTGAGGCACTACTTTACTTCCACATACCCATTTCCCTTGCCAAATTTAAAAAGTCTATATTATATTTTCTACTGACAACAGCGAAGACAGTAATAGCGGGGCACTGGAAATCTCAAATTAAACCCTCAAGATAGATTATATTCATAAGATGGAGGAACTCAGAATGTCCACACTAGGAAATCAACATTGGTTCAACACAATATGGAGTTCCTGGAAACTATTTACACAGGGACACCAACACCTCACTAAGAGCTTCAATTGACCCAGGGAATACTAAGGGACAGCTAAATCTTCAAACCCCATATACAAACCATCCGCCACAAAACTCACGAGTGTACCCGCAAATTCTAAGAATGAGCG